ACTGGAATGAATGATATAAACAAACCATTTTTCATGAAGAAAATTTATAAACTAGAATGAAGGATTTAAATGAAGAAAATTGGAGGATTATCACTTAGTAATGTTTAAATAGCTTGGGGTGGGTTTTTTTGTGTTTTGATTATATTCCATAGACTAATTCCTGTCCCCCCCCCCCTTTTTTTTTTAAACTAGGTGAAGGAATTTGACTCAATATCTCGCTTGGATCAGTGGCTCACGACCATGTTGCTTCGTATCAAAAAGTCCATCCAAGGGGATGGAGAAGGAGACGGAGACCTGAAGTGAACATTTATGTCTTTGTGGCATGCAGCTGACTCCTCTTTAGTTTCATGTTAGGGCCACATGATCTTTACAGGATGCCCATTAAATGGCTTAATTCTGTTGCACATGGGCCAAACCATCTGTGTGTTTAAGCTCCCTGTGTTTGTGTCTTCGTGAAGTGGACGGCTGGGAAGCTCCTGTGCATATTGTGGGTGCAATGGGCTATTTCATGTTTGTCAGAGACCCAGAGTTTTCTGAGAACTACTTCAGAATCTTATTCCTGTTGTTTTGATATCAGCAGAGCCTGTGTTTAACTTTCTCGTGTATTTTTATGTCATTTTCTTAGACTGGAGTACCCAGCCTAATCATTGTAATAGATGCTTTGCATACTTTCCACAAATTCGCACCTGGATGTATTCTCTAAGTTTACATGTTTAGTTCAGGATGGTTGTTAGGAATGAGCTTTATGGCTTCACTTACTAGAAATGGTTTTTGTTGTTCTTGTGATTCTTTTGATGGTGCTAGTGACCATTTGTTTGCTTTTTATATTGTTGTGTTTGCTAACATGCATGCGAAAATTCAGAACAGCTGGGCTCTGCCAGCATCACTTACTTAACATTGTGAGAAAAGGGACCTTCCTGGCAGGGCTTGCTGATGTGTGTGGGCCAATGTCAGGGTGAGTCTGATGGATTTATACTCCTTCACACACTAGAGATCTGTACAAAACAGTTTTTCCTTTTCCTGGAGATAGTTCCCACTTTTAGTTGGGGTGGAACCCTTTATATTCACATAAAAGTGATTTGAAAGGCATGTCCTTTTGTTTACTTTCACGTTCATACACTTGTCCACGTTGAGATGATGCCTGGTGTGCCACTACCATGTGAATCCTCGTCAAGGCCACAGAGAGACCAGGTCATTAATTTTACCTTTTAATTAAACGTGATGGGTTAGGTGGTATAAATACGGTACAGAGGTTTACCATGTGTCCAGTTGGGGAAGAAGGGCAACGAGCTTCTGAGGAAAATTGATTTTCTTCTCAGCTAGTGGAGTCATTTTGGCTTGAATGTTTGAATTTAGTTGTCATTTTGGTTTACATAATATTTGCTCTATTGATTTATGAATTTAACATGCTGATACTGTGCTTTAGACATGGTCTTGTTTTCTGAATCTTCTCTGTATTTTTATGCTTAACTGACTTAAGTTTGATGTGTATTTCTTTGCCAGTCCTAGCTTGTAGGTCTTTCTAAAATTATGCTGCTATCATTAAAGACAAATAGTGAAATTTCCCATGTTAGGTCAGATGGAAACTGGCATTTGAAGGGTGTTTTCATTTTTGGATGTCCCTCCACTAGGATTGGTAGGCTTTTCTTGGGCGGAAGTAGAGGGTACGCCACAAAAAGGGCTGAGTATGGAGGAAGGCAAGGGTCTGGTGAGCAGGTTGGGCTGAGATGAGGGAGAAAGTAGCTGGATAGGGCCAGTTGACGCCTGGTATTAGAGGCTGTCCTTCGGGTCACTGTGGATTTCCTAGCTGTGGTTGTGGGGTCGCCTATGCCAACATAGCCTGCTGGAGAGGAAGGTCAGAGAGGTCACAGGGTGGGCTGAATGGACCAGAAGATGTGGACACTCTAGCCTTTCGCCCTGGGATCTGATGAATGTTCCTTCCTTTAAAGGTCTGGGATTCTTAGAAGAAAGTTGGCTATCACTTATAGTACAATTTGGAATGCAGCCCTTTTGGTACTTTTTCACTTCCTGTCAGAATCTCTTATGAAGAAATGATTAGAGCAGAGTGTGGGTCCCTATGCCTCATCTGTTCCACAACCAGCCAAATGCACTTTTGGAAAAGTGAGGTATGGGAAGGAGGGTGCTTTTGTTATCTGTGTCCTCAGACTGTAAGTCTCTCATCTGGAGAGCATTTAAATCCTAGCCTGCCAGGATGCTTGTTTCATTACTAGTGTGCAAGGTTTGTTTTCACTTGTTAAAAGGACCTTCTGATGTGACCACTTAAAGTAAGAACCAAATGGTTTCTCTTAGGATTCCTTTAGCTTTCAACATGGTCCCGTCAGACCCCTGTCTGAGAAAGAGGTGTGGTTTGTAAAAACAATACTGGTACCGTTTTGTTATGTCAGTTGGAGAGTTGCTTGTTTGTCTTAAAATAAACACTGGGATCAGTGGCTGGGTTAAGAATTTTTTGTTTTTAATATTTCACATGAAAAAAGTAAAGATACTTGTAATGGCTAGAACAGAACTGCCAGAAGATAAGAGAATGAGAAGAAAGTCCATTAACATTATCCAAACTTTTGAAATGTCCCGTCAACATAGGATAGTACCATGAGGCCCAAGTTAGGTTTTCAGGAGTTACAGAATGTACTTTATGAATAAAATATAATGACCATTTATGTTCCGGTTCTTGTATTTTATCAAATCTGGAGTTAGATCATAGTCAGAGTCAGTTAAAATTTCTTACAGGAAAGCTTTGCTTTTTGTGGCAACATTTTTATAGTTGTGTGAGTTCCTTTTTTATTTAATGATTTGAAAACAGTATTTTTGCACAGTTGTGACAGTGTGTGATGACATCCCTGTAACCAAAGTGTGTGCATTTATTTTCTCTGATACTGTGCATTTAAAATGTCCAAATGCAACTTCTGTGGCTTCCTTCAGGGGACCCGGCAGCACAGCATGGCACCTGCAACCTGCCTGCCTGCAGTGTGAGCTGTGGCCTGGAGCAGGCTCCCGCCTGCGCAGTGCTGTGTCGGGCACTGCGGGGTCTCCTCCCTCGTGTTCTCGGGTGGAGGATTATGTTATGAAAACTAACCATGTGACGATCACTCTACCTTAGCAGAAAGAATATGTATGTTTTATGTCACCCTGTACAGAAAATAAAGTGGAAATTATGAGTATTTTGATGGGTCTTTCCTATGTAAATTTATACAAATCAAGAGTAGCTTCCTTTCCTTGAAGGAGTTCCCATTAAGGTTTAATGCAATGGATATTAATATTTGCTGGGCTCTTCGAATATCCATCCAAACAGTTTAGCTACCTCAAAACCTCCATCACTTGAAAATGCAAGGCACTGTAGCAGATCTGCTAGCAGAGGGTTTATGTGGAAGCCCTGGTTCTAGCCTGTAGTTGCAGTCCCTGGGTTCACATGGTGTTGTCCATTCTGGCCACACCTGGCAAGGACTTTTGCTGGCATCCTTTAGGCCACAGTCACCTGCCAGGTGCAAGGAGGATGGGTTTCGAGAAAACTGTTAGGTGTGGGTGGGACAGTGAGGAACCCTGAAGCCCCTCAAGTCTGTTCATAGTGTGGGTATTCATGTCACTCTGCAGGATGTCTTGGGGGGTGACATGTCCCTGAGGCAGGTCGAGCCACAGGCCACTTGGGACTCAAGTTCTGGGGAGGGGGATGTGGTTGGGGGTAGGGGCTAGTGTAGGCCGGCTCCTCCCCTCTGAGAACAGTGGTCAGGTCCATCAGTATGTTCACAACAATTTAAAGATATTCCAAAGCAAATTTTAAAAAATGAATGGTAGAACAGGCTGTTCCAGTCTAGGCATTCTGAGTTGATCTGTGTCATTCAGATGTCTCTTAGAATCCTTTCCTAATGGAAGCCACCATGGTGGTTTAAAAACCTGGTTTTGTCAGCTATGGTAAGGGTCCTCATACAGATTGGCAGAGGTAAGCGGGTGCTTTCCAGGGCTCAACTAGGATGTTACGCCAGATGGCCTTCAAAGCCATGTTTATAGCCTGCTTGGTTATTTGAGGCCACTTGGTACAAGTGAATGCCTCTCTTTGTAAGAGTATCTCGGGCCTCATACTTCCCACCAAAATAATATTGTTACTTCAAGTAACATGACCACCACCAAGTTTATTAGTTAAGAGACAAGCACTCATTTGGTCTCCAAAAATTGCCCTTGCCCTGGTGTGGCAAGGTATAAAATTGAATAGGTTAGAATTAAAACTTACTCTCAGATTTGTTGGTTTGGATTATCACATATAGCAAAACCATATTTCTCTTAAAGTCAGTTAGTATAAAGGTCTTCTCTACCCACCACCACCACAACATGGCTTTCTTCAAATTCTGTACAACAAATTTGGGTAAAATCAAAGGTGGCAGAGTGCTTTAGACTTTGTGCTGCGAGCATTTCCCACAAAATGTTTGGAAGGCACTAAATCACCGTTGCCTTTCATGATGCTGTGGGAGGAACAGCACCAGCACTTTGGGCACTTTCTGATCACACTTTTGGGACCCATATACTCAGACGGCAGCCTTGTTTTCTCTCAGCAAGACTGTACTTGGATTAAGAGAAATCATGACACCCCACAAATCCCTCTGTGCTGGGTTTTCTGCAGGGTTTTTGCATTTCTCTGCTCTTGGGTGCGGCCTTACTTTCCTGGTAAGGACAGAAATGGGTCTAGTTGGAGACACAGCTGTGACGAAGCCTGTCACATCACACTGAAAAGGCCTCTCTGCATCCCAGCACCAACTGCACAGGTGGTCAGCCGTCCCTTACAGGAGGCCAGAGTCCCTCACCACCAGGCTTTCACATCTGGAGTCCATATGTAGTCCAGTTACATAGACAATCCTAGGACTACAGACCCTGATTTTATATTTCATTGCCCATGAAATGGAAGAGAATTATACTTGTTCCAGTTAAGAATCTTATTTCTACAGAGCCTAGATTCTAACAGTGGAAATAAACTTCAGATTTGCAAAACATTTTAGAAAGCAAACATTTATTAACACATTAAACGATTTTTTTGTAGAATTCTAAAGAAACAAATTCAAGACAAAAATTCTTCCAGTAGGTAACAAAATAATCTATTATTTAAATTCCTTCCATTAAGATGACTTTATTCCATGAAACAGTACATCAGCTGGGCAGGCTCATTCTTACCAAAAGTAAAATGCTTGTGTGACAGTTTCACTGTTGCTGTTCTGTAAACACAACCAGGATACACTGTCATCACTGAAAATTCAGTACTGCCATCTTCAAGAGCAAGTGTGAAACATGTTATCAGCACCTAAAACATCTTAGAGTGGTTTTAGTATTTACTTAACATGTTACAAGTTAAAACAAAATAAGCATTTAGGGAGAGTCTTCCCACATTAGTTTCTGGCATGGTACAGCTGTATCTTTATCCTGGAACTTAGGATAAAGTACCTTTCTCTTAGAAAGTGAACATGTTTTCACAGCAAGTTTAATAAATTAAAATATAAGGAAAACAACTAGTGAACAAAAAAATTCTTCGGGTTCTCTCTTTAAATTATTATGTTTAGGGTTACATGTGAGTCAAAGCACTTAGCATGCGGCCACACACCCAAGCCACTGGAACCAAGAATCAGGCTTAGCAAATAAAGAATTAACTTCACTGCAAAATTCATTTTAAGCAGAAGGCCAGCATGAGCCAGCCACAGGAGCACTGAAGGCAAAGTTCCTGGTTCTTCACAATCCACTCTTAAGGCATAATCAAAGAAAAGTTCCAAGGGTTTTGGTCCCTTCTGCTTATGTGCTCACATGTTCCCAATGAAAGAAATGTGAGGGAACTACTCGCCTGTTTCAAGCTCTTGATACATAAAAGAGAAATTCTGCATTTCTAAAAGTCACAGAGTTAAGTCAGGAAAACCTAGCCAAAAATACTAATACTCTGTGTTCTAAGATTTGCCAGATCACCTCATTGCTACTTGTGAATAAAAGGACTCCACAGTGTTTCAAGTGTTCTAAAGCCTCTTCACTTTTTACACTTCTGCAAAAACACTACACCATTTGCTGCTAGAATCTTTGGTAGGACAGCTTTTACCTAATCAGACTTTAAGAATGAAACCCAACAGCCACACTTCATTTCAGCAGTTACTCTATGGCAGTTACTCTATGGCCAACTTCCTAGCTGTGAATGTGCTGTGAGTACAGATTACAGAAAGCCATTTTTCAAGTGTTCAATTTGTCATTCCTTTTTTAGTGCCTACAGACAGGAGGTGGAAGAGGATGAATGCAACCATCCATTTCTTCAGTCCCAACTCAAGGGTCCCCAAGCAAATCGACTTGCTTCAGTTCAACAGCAAAGAGCATGAAAATACATGGTCCCAGTTTTATTTCAGCTTGGTAGAAAAATAGCTTAAAATCATCAGGGAACTAAACCCACACAGAGGGGTAAGGCAGGCTGAGAGACCAGGGAGATCACTAACATTAACTTCATGAGCTGGGCCAGGGCTCTGTATTCTACAGTTCCATAGTTGTCCAAACTTCCTACACATCAGGAAAAGTGTTATGCATATGACCTGCACCAGGATCCAGTGAGGTCATGTTAACTGCTTTGTCGATCAAGCATAGCTGAGATCATGCAGACTGGGATTTTTTTAAGGGGAAGCTCTAAAAATGCTTTGATAAAGACGTGCAAGTTAGCAGAGATTCAGGAAAATGTGCAGAAGGTATTCTTGCCCACTCTGCTCGCAGACAGTTCTTCGTCTTAGCCCCTGACGTGAACCTGCATACAGCAATCACACATGCGGAGACGCAGCGTAGGATCTGCCTGGCAGGCACCAAAGCTCTCATTCCATGTTGGTCAGCGAGTGAAGCTGTGTTGGCATCGTGTCTGCCTGTGGAGTCAGCTCGCTGAGCTCACTGATGGTGGTGGCCAGCAGTGTGTCCTGAGACACCACGCAATCGTCCGACTTGCAGGCTGGGTCTGCAGAACTGTTCTCATGCACCGTGGATACACTGCCTTGGACTGTGGCGAGGTTGTGAAAATGGCCATTTTCTGCAAAAGACAGCAATTTATCCGAAAGTTTGGATGACGTATATTCTTCATCCGGCTGCTCAGTCTTGTGCGTGTCATCGTTCTTGGGCGAGCCATCTACAATAACAAGGAAAGACTTCCATGGAGTATTCTTATCATGTATCTACAAATCAAACACAAAACAGAAGTCACAACGTGTCTCTGAACAAGAACATCTTTTACAACAATGGTCTCTTTTCAACTTCAATTTAGTTTCCACCACGGCAAAATACCCTTCCACTAATGGCCAACTATTTCTCTACCACCACTGTCACTGTTAAGAAGCACATGTCATAGACTGTGCTCTTGGGGACCCAAGACTCAGTTCTTCGTTCACACTGTGAATGTGCTCCCTGCAGAGAAAACCTGAAAAGGAAAGGCCCACTGTCTTCTTCTACAACCACCCTATGGAATGATGGCCGGCATTTCTGTCTAGAGTTACATGCACCTGGGACCAGCGATTTGTCATGCAGAAACTGCGCTGCTGCTTACCGAGGTATGCCGCCGGAGGGTGGACTTGTCCGTGAATGTCCGCCCGCACGCGTTACACATGAATGGCTTCTCCCCCGTGTGGATGCGATGGTGACGCTGGAGAGCGTTGAGCTGGGTGAACTGCTTCCCACACTGGTCACAGCAATAAGGACGTTCCCCTGAGATGGGAAGAGAAGAAAGTCACTGGTTGATCTCTCCGGCCTACTGTGTTGAATTCTGGTATGCTCTGGAATCATGCTGCTAGACCACTGGAAAGCAGCAGTCGGAAGGCTATGCTGGGAACAACTCAAGAGTCAACTGACAGGTACAAATCTACTCCTGTGACATCAGGAGTTTATGCTAAACTTTTGGGGGTTTACCATAAGGGCCAAAGCCAAAAGCAGGCACTACATCTACAGAACTTCACCTGTTTTCCACAGTAATGGAATATAAAATTCCAAGTCCCATAATAACTGAATTTGTGTGTGTGTACACTAATATATCTGGACCATTACTCCGAATTCTAATCTGAAAGTGTTAAAAAGTCCACATATCCACATCCACATCCAAACACTCCTACCTTTCCAGTTTGTGAGAGCCAGAAACTAGAAACTCAGAAATTTAAAAATGCTATATGACACACAAAACAACGCTAAATTCTAAATAGTTTTCTAGTAAACATAAAACTTTTGGGACATTATCCTTGCTACATTAGGGAAGGAACTCCCTTCCCTAGAGACATGCCAGCCATACCTGTATGGACTTTAATGTGCTGGTAGAGTGAATTCCGCTGGGCAAAAGTCCTGAAACAAACTTCACATTTAAAGGGTTTGGATCCAGTATGGATTCTATTGTGATGTTTTAAATACTCCTTAGAAGCAAAACTCTTGCCACATGTTTCACACATGAAAGGTCTTTCACCTACATGAAAAGGTGAGACAGAAAGTTAGAAATGCTACAAGCACCAGAACCCTCGACAAGCTGGCCCACACTCTAGAACACATGAAGTCACAGCACGTGACATCTTCACATTGAAACTGTCCTAAAACATCTGTTCGTGTAGGATGCCTGCTACTTCCTGCAAGTTCAGGTAAAATATCCTTGGGAATCCTAAAAAGGGTTCCACTAGCCTAGAATTAGATCATTAGTCGGCCCACATTTTGTAAACTTAGTCATTCCAAACAAGAAATTAATATTACGACTTGTTTGGGGGAGTTGTTGGATTTTTCCAAGCAGCACTGGTGTGGCACTTTATCAGGACCAAAGTGTCCCCTGAGAGGAGAGGAAGTTTACATGGATACATATGCACCACTGTTCTGGGGCAGCAACTCCAACCAACCTGGGCTGGTTTACAGAACAGGAGAAAAATGTTTCCACTTCACGTTGCATAGTTTCAGTCTTTTAATCCCACAAATCAGACTCATCTGATCATTAGGTGTGCCCCTGACTTTACAAACATCAAAATAAAAATACTGGCTTTTAAAGACCCTAAATACATTAATATTTTCATCAACTGACTGGTGCTCACTTAATGCTTCAGTGTGACCTGACCTCACCTCCATCCCCAATCTTCCATTAGGCACCAATTTTTATTCAGGGTGTCAGTAATTCCCATCATTAAACGCCTCAGCTCTGCTTTGCCTGCATTTGAACTTGAGGCTCATATGGCAGTCTTTAGAGATAAAAATTTTTAAATGCAAGTAAGAAAGAAGTGGATCAGTATGATAACAGCAGTGTACGACAGTTAGATTCTACATCCTATACAACAAGGTTCTGAACCTCAGGATGGCTGTGCTCAATTTGAATAGAGTCAACTTGAATTTTCTCCCTCACATAATAAAATCACATCACAAAATTTTGAAAAATAGAAATGAGATAATCCCACCACCTAATACATTATATAGCAATTTATTTTCATCTAGTCTTCTATGTGCAGGTTTTCAATGTAACTGGAATTAGTTGTGTGCACAACTGTACATTTTCCAATCCATATCCAAGCACAGGTGTTTTTCATAACATTCACAGCCCTGGGAGTGGCTCCATCAGGTGCTGAGAACCACTTCCTTGTGGTTGGACCATCAGGCTGTTTCCAATGCTCTGTTATTAGGGAGAGCAAGAAGGGGGATGAGAGCATATAGCTTTTCCCATATTTTGGATAATTGCTTTAAGACAGATTCCTGGAAACGGAATTTGGGGCTAGAACAGTAGGAACTGTTTCATACCTCTTGATGCGTAAGACTCACGTGTCAGCTCCTACTGCCCAGTGTGCACGGCTGCCACCACGAGCACGCCAGCACCAGAGAGCCATGGGCATATTTGAGTTATTTGTTTTTGCTCACTTTCGAGATGGAAAAGCTATATCATGGCCTTAGCCTGCACCACTTTAGCAGATGCCAACTTCTAAATTAAATGGCAGTTTCTTCTACAGCTAGAAAGACATTCAATCACAACAGCATTGAGTATTTACCTGTGTGACACCTTTTATGATAAATCAGCATGTGGTTCTGAGTGAATCTTGCACCACATTCATCACAGACAAAAGGTTTTTCCCCTGTATGAATTCTGAAAGTACAACATTCAGATGGTAACTTAGGATGTATCTCAAAGCTCACTTTGCAATACAATTTCCACTCTAGCCTGCAAAGACGGTTATTCCAAGAGACCAAATGAGAACTGCTGAAGGGGAAGTACACAGGCCCATGACCTCCATCCCCAAGTTCGTTTCTGCTGGAGGCCAGCTGGCTGCTGTGCTTCCCCAGGGGACGCTGCAGGGCCCGGGCCTGCAGACACTCGCCTTTGCTCCCTCTCTTCACCACTGAATAGTACCATGCAGTATTTGCAAAGCTTCCTCATCAGAGTAATTGACCACAAACACCTTGGGGACTACGGCTGACCAAGCTCCGTGTATTCAAAACTGTTACCAATGATTCCTAAGATGACGTGAGTAGTCCAGAAAGAATGGTTCTCAAAATGCTGAAAAAAGCTGGTTTCTAAGGAATGTGCATCAGCATTTGAGTTTCACAACTAGTATGAAGCAGCCATCAACCACGACTCACTGCGCACTTCCTATGTCAAGGTTTTAACTGATCACAGAGTAAAAAGATAATGAACACCATGCTACCACCCCAAAGACGCCCCAGCCTGACGATGGCAGGTCTAGAAAAGAGGAGAAACTGCTTCTCTGGATTTCAAGCATAAACAGTCAGCACTGGAAGGAAACCTATTTAAAAACCAGTGTACTCCACCTGCAGGTCAAAAATTATGAACAGAAAACACTGTCCTCATTCTGAAGGTTAGACTAACCAGTGGCACTTTCCAAGACCCAAAAACGAACGCCTACAACCAGAGGAGGGTCCTAAAGCCCTAAGAGTCCTCTCACTGAGATCTTCAATGGGACCGTGGAACCAGCTGGTCACAGGTCCAAGTTCTAAATAAAGAGTCAGGAAAAGAGAAATGAAGGTCATTAGCCCAACTGGCCCTCAAGTATAAGAATGGCAGGCACGGTAAGCTCCAGAGGCTACCCTGGGATTGGGAAAGCCTGGCCTGCAGTGGCCGTGCGACAAGACTGGCAGGGCCTGGGTTCCATGTCCAGGCTTCTGTGCTGGCACTGGGCATAGGGTGAGGGGGATAGCCATCAGCCCAGGGCCTGTAGGAAGGCTGAATAAAGAAGAGACATCTGCACCAAGGAAGAGAATTCACAGACGTCCCAAAGCAGACCCCCAATTTCTAGAGGCCACAAATTAAGAAGTGGAACATCTGCAGACATAGCCACATTGGTCAAACCCTAGAACAAGCTCGATCTCTCCCCAACCCCATCCTCAGAACACAAACAGGCCGCATGGCAGGCAAAGAGCACCCTCGCAGTGGCTCTGGCCGGTGGCCCCGGCCCTACCTCATGTGGGTCTTCAGCGCCGAGGGCTGCGAGAACTTGGCCTCGCACTCGGTGCAGCCATATGGCTTGTGACCCGTGTGCGTCCGCTCATGCAGCCGCAGCGCCGTCTTGGAGCTCAGGCCCTTGCCGCACTGCTGGCACTGGTGGCGCTCGCCACCACCCTCGTGCACCTGCACCACATGCCGCTTGACGTCCTTCTTCCGCTTGAACTTCTTGCCGCACAGGTCGCATGGGAAGTGGCGCTCGCTGCTGTGCACATGGCGCTGGTGGCTCTTGAGGTTGCAGCGGTTGGCAAAGGTCTGGCCGCATGTGTCACAGCGATGAACCACCTCAGTGGCCACCCCGTGGTGGTGCCGGATATGTTTCAGGAAGCTCTTCTCATACAGAAAGGCTTTTTCACAGATAGTGCACTTGAAGTTGCTCTTCCTCTTCTCACCCTCCTCCTCCTCGTCGTCATCCTCCTCCACGCGGCCTGCGTCCTCCCTGCTGCCTGCTTTTGGCAGCTCCTGGGCCGCCTCCACTACCATTCCGCCCTCCTCACGCTTTGTGACGGGCTCCACCTCTGCTCCCATGGCCTCTGGGTTGGGGTCCTCGGGGCTTCGGCAGTCCCCCATGTCGTCCTCGGCACTTTTCTGCTGCTCTCGAAGCCTTCTTGTGTATTTCTTTTTAGGAATTTCCACAAACACCTTTCTTCCAGCCAGCCTTCCACTGGCCCTTCTGATTTTGGGGTAGGGAGGCTTGATTGCATCTTTTTTCTTGTCAGGTTTCTCCTTGGACTTCTTCAGGGGCATATCTGGCAACACGCCATTGCTGATTGTCTCTACTAGGGGATCTGAGGAATCCCCAAGGCCATTAGTGAGAGGACTGTCCCCGGGGGAACTTGCCCTGGGGTCAGGAGCAACAGCAGCTTGGGAGCCACTGCTCCCTTCTGCCTCCTGAGACTCAGAGAAGTTCTGCAACTCCAGAAGTACAGATTCTAACATCTGTTTCTTCAACTGAAAACAAGTCTCTGATAAGTCCAGACATTTTAGTTTCTCAGCCATTTCCAGCATTCGCTGCACCCGATCTTCTTCTACCTGTACCTTTGCAGTGTACACAAACTCGAGAAATGAGGCAAAGTCAACAACTTGTACTTCATTTAGATAGACGTTAGTCCTCGTACCATCCACAGTCTTCTCATTAAGGAACATCTCCTTAAAGAATTTGCTGGTGGCTGCCAACACCGCCTTATGAGCCATGAACTCTTCACGGACGCCCTGGTACTCCACGCTGACAGTCACATCACACAGGTGACCAAGAAGGCGTAGCTGATGCATTTCATGCAGAAGGTTGAATGGTGAGGATTTGGATTCCAGCAGAACTGCACCACTTTCCATGTTTCTTCTTTCGTATGACAGCTCTGAAAACAGAAACAAGAATTATTCATGCCTGAGCAAACACCAAAGTAAAAGGATTAAAAATCAGGATTATTTCAGTTCTCTAAAGGATATCAACTGATTAACAACCAAAACCTAGATTTCCTCATCTAAAGAGATAAATCACACTACTTCTTAGTGAGTTCTAAAGTGAAGTCCTAATGCACCCTCTACCTTAAGGTAGTATTTGCACAAAAAAAAAAAAAAAAAAAAAAAAAATTACTATGATTTCTCCCAATGAGAAACATAATTAACCAAAGTCATACTTAATGAAATATATTACAGCAGTAATCTGCTTATCTAGATCATTTCCTAACTTGCTTATAGACACACCTCAAAACCATAATAGAATTTACAGCAACAATAATGTCTAGCTCTTTGACCAGGAAATCAAATAATTAAAACACATGGCCACCAAACCTTAGAGGATCATGTCTGCCTTTGAAAACAACCAACTTGGGGAGACTAGGTGGCTCAGCTGGTTGACTGTCTTTGGCTGGGGTCATGATCTCAGTGTCCTGGGATGGAGTCCCACATTGGAGTCTGCTTATCCCTCTCCCTCTGCCCCTTCCCATACTGGTGCTCTCTCTCTCATAAAAAAATAAAAATAAAATGAAATAAAATAAAAATAAGAAAGAAAACAACCAACTTGGAAGCCTGGGTGGCTCAGTTGGTTAAATGCCTGCCTTCAACTCAGGTCATGATCCCAGAGTCCTGGGATCAAGCCCTGCATCCCACTCCTCTCACAGTGGGGAGCCTGCTTCTCCCTCTGCCTACTGCTCCCCCTGCTTGTACACAGGCGCATGCTCTCTCTCTGACAAATTAATAAAATCTTAATAAAAGAAAACAACCAACTATAACTACTTTCCACAAGGAAAACTTGATAAAAAAAGAAAAACAGTCCATAATCCATGGCCATTTCCAGCACCCCTAGACACCTCATAATTGAATTATTGTTACTCTAGGAGAATAATTTCACGAGCTGTGCTACCTTGAACAAGTAACTTAATTTCTCTGAACCACAGTCTGCTCCTCTGTAGAAAGATGGCAGAGCCCATGAGGCTCCAGTGAGTACAAACATGTCAAGTGCTTACAGCTTCACCTGAGGCTTGTAAGCTACTTGCTACTGGCTTCCCATACACGAGGCCTAGGTGCTATTATCGCTATTACCTTCCCCATTTCACAGAAGAGGAACTGACAAGATTAAGTGGTTGGGCTGGGGCTTGAGCCAGGGACTCCAGACTCACACTGAAACTGCTCAGCATACCCTCACCTAAGCAGTGCCAAATGCAAAGAGCTGCTTTTCCTCCCTAGATCTTTCCATGACTGGAAACTGCAGATTTCATTCCCCACTCCAAGGTCTCCTTCCCCTGGCTTCCATGGCCCCCTACACCAGCATAGGTCACTTCTTTACTGGAACTACTCTTTCCTCAGACTCCCTATGTGCTTTCTCAAGATGCACCCCAACCCTATGCTCTAGAATCTACCTTCATTTGTAGAATCTACAGTATGGTTTTGCTCCTAAATCTCCAGCCCTGTCCAAAGTACCCGTCCTCCTTCTATCACCCTTCAGCCAGATCTTAGATGTTGCCTCAGACTCAACATGTCTAGGGCAGAACTTGTCTTCATCTTTCCTGGAAAACCATCCTCACCTCTACCCAGTTTTCCAGTCCCACCAGTGATACTGTTTCCAAGACCTGGGGCTACAGCTGACTTCCTACAACCACCAGTCACCCCAAAACACGAAAAAGACTGCCCTCTGAGAGTTCAACCTTAACTAGAAGGTTAAGAGTTCAACCGTAACAAGCCAGGAGGCCTGAACAGTTACCTGAAGACTCTCCACAGTCAACTGAGAACGCCCACCAAGCCCAAATGGGTAAGGCAGGGAAGGGGCGGTACACTAGGACAAGGACCATCCCTGATTTCAGCCCCAGCGCCGGAGAAATGGCTGCAGAAGGCTTTCTCAATCTGATGCCCATCCTCACCAGTAGCCCTCCACCGCCCCAAACCTCTGCCAACCCGGCCCTCAAGCAGACGTGCGAACCTACAGGCGGCGGACAGAGATTTCTGAGTCAATCAATAAAGTGGTTGCTGAGTACGATTTCCCATCCTGTCTGAACACAGGAAGGGAAGACAGTGATCATGGCGACAGGAATCCTCTGGCCTGGGTGACAGCTGCATCTCCCACTGTAATTGGCTGGCGCCCGGCCGCACCTCTGCCCCCAGCATCTCCCTCCCGCCGGCCGTTCTCCGCGGCTCCTCCGCACTAAGGAGGGTGCGGGAATCCCTCCCGGCCGAGTCCGGTCGGCTTCTCGCTAGGATGGCGCACGCCCCCGCCCCCTCGGCCCTTCCGACCCACACACCTCCAAGGGACACACGCTCCCTCTGCAAACGGATCCGGTGCCTGCTGGGCCGCCGGCATCCAGGGCGCCCGCGAGATCGGGCCTGGACCCCGACCCCGGGCCGCCCGAGGCTCCTGCACCCCCGAGGTCCGCCGCTTCTCCGGGAAGGCACGCGCGGCCGGCCCGCTCGCCAAGCCCGGAGAAGTCGGGAGGCAGCGGCTGGGGCGAAAAGCCCCGACGGCCCGTGGGCCGCACACTCACCTCCCAGCCGGCGTTGCCGCCGCCGCCGCAGCTACCGCGCGTCCACCGGACCAGGCCCCCGGGGACCGACGGCTGGCTGGGCGGGGCGGGACAACAGCGCGGCGCCGCCGATTGGCCGCCGCGGGCCCGCCCCGCCCCCAGACGGCCCCGCCTCTCCCGTGTCTAGGGGTGGGGGCTGCGCGCGCACGTCCGACTGCGGAGGCTGTTCGGGCAGAGTTATGTGATTCGACAGATGCTTGGAGCCCAAGTCCACGCTGGATTGCGTCACCAGCCGCGAGTCACGGTTTGCGCCTGCGCAGAAGACAACGAAGGCGGTTCCGTGGCTGTTCTTGGCGCGGCGGGGGCGGAGCCGGGCCAGCCCCAGGTGGTCACGTGAGTGGGGGAGGGGTGAGTGGTCACTTTCGGGCCTGTCTTCGGTTACCTGCCCGTGGCACTTGTAGTCTGGGTGCTACACATAGTCCGGTACGTTGTCCGCCACTCGAAGAAGGGGAGGATCTACGATGCCGGCCGGCATCGGGAAGGAGCTGGCATTCCGCGTGGGTCCTGAGACTGGCCGGTGGCGGACAAAGCACTCCCACGTGCTGCAGGACGGGGTTGGCTAGGGGCGGGGTGCTCGGCGGGCATTCTTCCCGCGGGGTCGCCGCCAGAGTTGGCCCCGGCCCAAGAGCCACAGTCCCCACCTCTCACCTTGCTTCAGCGCACCGTGTAGGGTCCCGGGAGTCTGCAGCCACGCACGTGATTTGAGTGGTCATTGTGGAGCTTCCCAAAGACCCAACCGCCCTTCGGTGGAAAGAATCCATGCTCCGTCTTTGAATCCTTCAGCCCCAAACCTTGCTGCTTCCATGCATCCTTGTGCACTCTTAATCAAAATCCCGCTCTGGAAGACTCGTCTTAAATTAAACTTCCGGTTCTCGGTTAATCCGGCCTGACTTCCCGCTGCGAGCCAGTGGCTAAAGATTTGTGAGATCCTGTTGCTCACTGTGGCCAGGTTGCACTGGGCGGCGTCTTAACCCTCAGGGTGTGTCGGTAATTTGTAGGACTGTAAAACGCAGATTAAAAATAAGACGCTTAACTTTCTGTTGAAAATATTTTCCTCCCCTTTTTGAGCATGTAGTTTAGGAAAAGTGATCATTGTAAGTATTCTCTCTTTTAGATGTACCTAATTCCATCTGAAGACTAGCTAGGCCCTGAGTCAGCTTTATGATCCAGAACCTAGAACAGCTGTGTTCAAGGGCTTCCGGAGCCATCTGTTCGCAGTGTAAGCATCTGGAGAGAAAGCGCCCAATCTCCCAGTTTCCTAAGAGACTAACTTTAATGGGCGCCTTGTTCCAAAGTTGCACAACTAACTCCTGTCATAAAGGTATGAGAAGTGTGCTGTCATAAAGGTATGAGAAGTGTGTTTTTACTCTGGATAAACCAAGTAGATGACCTAGATAGTCATCCCACTTACCAGGAAGAGAGCATGAACTATGTGCAATCAGTAGTAGTGGCTAGTCCTTTTACTGGAGCACTAGTTATTACTGTACATTGAGACAGATTGTACCTAGTTAGCTAACATGAAAAGGCTGAGATTTCTTTCTTTGTCAATTGCCTGTGATGCATGTTACATTCTGGTTTAAGGCGTATTCAATAATACAAGTGTTTTCTTCACTACTTTTATAGAGATTAGGGGAGAAGATTTTATTTTCAATTTTATCTCAACAGGAGCCAGCTTCCCACACATAGTAGGTACTAAGTCAGTATTTGAAGAGTGAAAGAGAGGCATCTTTGCTTAGGCACACTCCTATTTGTAGTCCATGATTCCAGGAAATTGGTAGGAAAACGATTTTCACTTGTGGCCCCAGATCCAGAATAATTTTTTATTTTATGATTTTGTTTTACATTGCTAAAAGGTGATTTGCATCCTCACTTAAATCTTCATTGCTTTTTGGCCTTTCTGTATCTCCTTTGGAGAAATTTTTATTCATTCAGATCCTCTATTTTTTTAGTTATTGTTCTTTTTATTATTAAGTTATAAGAGTTCCTTTTATATTCTAGATGAAAGTCCCTTATCAGATATATTTTGTAAGTATTTCTTTTTACTTTCTGGATGGTATCTTTTGAAGCACAGGGGTTTTTAACTCTGAGGGACTCCAGTCTATTTTTTTTCTTTCTTGCTTTTGGAAACTGTTGCCTAATCCAAGGTCATGATGATTTATCCCTACTTTCTTCCAAAAGTTTTAGCTCTTACATTTAAATTTGATACATTTTGAGTTAACTTCTGTATACGTATGAGGTAGGGGTCCTGCTTAATTCTAATTGCAGGAGATTATCCAGTTGTCCCAACATTTGTTGGAAAGACTGTTCTTCCCCCATTAAACTGTGTGGCCTTCCTGTCAAGAATCATTTGACAGTGAATGCCACCATTTACTTCTGGACTCTGTTCAGTTGATCCACAGGACTGTCCTCAGTACCACACTGTCTTGGTTAGTGTGGACTTTTCCTTTTTCATGGAGAGGTTTTAAAATTCTTGCTGATCTGCCAGTCTTTTCTCTTGGGTTTCTTCTGCTGATTGTAAGCTCAGGAAACACTTCTAAATATAGAGAGAACAGGAAGAACAAAAGTGCAGAGATGGTGCCCAGAGCACCTACAGTGTCCAGAACAGGCTGCACATGTGGCTCTGAGATTCCTGGTAGACAAAGAGAAAAAAGCCATAAAGCTTTGTCTACAGAAAGAACAATGCAAATTTAGTTTGCTCAGAGGAAGTTTTACATACAGTGTGGGAAATATATGTCCTAAAGAGCATTCTTAAGATGAACTGACCTCCATGTTCTTCTCCATCATCATTTTCATCTTTCCTCTCTTCTTCAAATTTGCATTAAATGAATTTGCTCCCTCCTCTTCACAGCCAGCAGATTCCCTGTGATTGGCTCCTGCTGATCCAGGATCTGATGCTGCCCCTGTGTTCCTCCAGGTACATCTGTTTCATCATGTCTTGCCCCTGATCAGCTGGTAAGTGGGACCACCACCCAGCACACTGGCTGCAGTTTTTGTCTTGTCTGGATTCATGTATTTTTCTGTAGAAAAACAAGATGTAACTGCAGTGGATAAACACTCATTTACATGAACTGGGAAACTATAAGAAATAAGGTAAACATTGGTATGAGATATAATGCACAGCTCACATCCCCTATGTGGGGATCAAGACTCAAGGGGGAAACAGGCTGATGAGAGACCAGTGGGTTCCGGATTAAAAAAAAAAAAAAAAATTACTCCTTCTTAATCACAGGATTTGAGGCAAACAGCTCACCCAGTCTGTCAGTGCATGCCTCTCTAAGAGCCCCTGGACAGGTGGAGGCCTTGGGAACATCTCCCATCACCATGGTGTTAGACACAATAAAAGAATGTGCTTTAGTGGGTTAGTGGTGCCAGCTCCTTGGTATTTAGTGTCCAAACATGGCAGTTCCTTGGGGGAGAGCCTAAAACCTCAGACATGGGCAAGAAAATGGCACGTACCATTCAGAGACCTCCTGGGTGTAGAGTAGCGGCTCTGGGGTGGGCACAGGACAGGCTGCTGGAGTGGCTGCACATCTGTCTCAACCTGGGTGGTGGTTACAAGTGGGTCTGTTACTAAGCTTAATATTTGTTTTATGTAGTTTTCTGTATCTGTGTCTTATTTTTCAGTAAAAAGAAAGTAAAAGGAGATAAAGAAGGCATGCTTATTCCTCTCTACCATGGAACATGTGTTCAGTCAGTGTGCATGCTCTATTGTTGACTGCAGACATGTGGCCACTTCTCTACTTGGTCTTTTGTTTCCCACACAGTAGTTATTGGGTCACTCAGATCACCAGCAGGGTCTCTTCAGTTACATTAAAAGCCCACTTTGTTCCTGCAAGCGAACAAAAGGAATGGTATGTGTCACCTTGAATTGCTGACCCTGCCAGGAGCCAAAGATTTTTCCCAAGTTAGGCTGTAGAAACAAGATTTGAAAAATTCCAGCAAAAGAGCCAACTATGTAATAACTTGACAATCCTGCTACAAATCCTTAGAAATGGTAGCTTAAATATAGCAACTGTCATTTGAATTCATGGCCAAGTTTGCAAGAAATCTGGAAAATCTCTGGGGTCCAGAAATAAAGAGGGAGCTCAATATGAAGCCTGTTGGTGGGTGAGCTGCACTGCCCTAGAAGGGGCTGTGGGTCTGGTCTTGATAATAGAGCTAGGAGTCTGGATTTACACACACACACACAAACACACATACACATACACACAGTCAGAAAAGTAAAAACAATGAAACCTTGCATAAAGCTGAGACTCAGAAAGCTGAGAACCACACCCTCAATGAAAACAATAGTTTAGAGAAAACAAAATCTATCAGCACAGAGAATCAAGTAGTTGTTGAGTTTACCCTGAGTTAGGGTTGTAAAAGTCTCCTCCGGAGGTTTGTAACTATGGGCCTGCCTCTGCACATGGAGTTGTCGCTCAAGTTATGCTGCCCTGAGACCTGGGAACCCGTTAACTTGGAAATTAACAGAAAGCCTGGTCTCTGGCCAGAAACATTCCAGGAGCACCCGTAGAAGCTAATGCAAAACTGCTCTGGAGGGATGGACAAGGGAGCAAGATTCTTGAGCAAGTGGATGCCAGCGGTGGAACAGACAGCGGGCTGGACCTGTAAAAACTTTACTGGGACTCTCAGCTTCCACCATAAATATGTTCACATTGTTTAAAACAAAAGGAGAACTTAAATATGTGAGAATAAGATAAAGAACAAGCAGATATGAAACAGGACTAAATAAAACTTCTGAAAGTTAAAATATACTCACTGAAATCAAAAGCTGCATTGAGGTAAGCAGCAGGTTTGGCACAGCTGAAGAATTAGTGGGCTGGAAACAGACCTAAGGATATTACCAAGAATGCAGTGGAGACACAGCTGGGAGATAAGAAAGAGAGGTTAAGGAAGATGGAGGAAAGAATAATAAAGTCTAGTATATTCCCAGTAGGACTTGAAGAAGGAAGAAAGACTGAGAGGCAAGAGCCAAAGAGATATTAGCTGATAATTTTCCAGAACTAAATAAAGAAACTCTCAGGTTTGGGAAGGATGGATAAAAATAAATTTATATCTAATCACAATATAATGAAACTACAGAATGACAGAACCAAAGAGATCTTAGAATTATCCAGAGACAGACCAGAGAGGACTGAGTAAGATTATCTAAGATCATAAAAGGAAGCATGTGATGTGAAAAGAGTCATATGGAGGGCCTCCAGATCAAGGTAAGGAGACAGGCAACCATAAATTCAGCAGCAGAAATGCTGAAGAGCAAGCAGCAGCCTTCTTTATGGAAACGAAAAAGGATGAATTTTATAGTAAAACAAAATTCCCAATTCAAGAATTGAGATTTTTCTTCCCCTCAATTTTTCTAGTTTCTGGTCTTATCCCATGTGTGACAGTTAATTTAGTTCCAACTTCACTGGCCCAAGGGAGGCTCTGATAGCTGGTAAAATAGTATTTCTGCATGTGTCTACAGGGGTAGGAGAAACTAGCATTTGGTTCCGTAAACTGAATAAGGAAGATCCACCTTCACCAATGTGGGCCGCATCATCTAATCCATTGGGCCCAAGTGGAACAAAAAGGCAAAGCGAGGGCCAATTCTCTCTCTTCTTGAGCCAAGACGTCCATCTTCTGCCCTGAGAGCTCAAAGCTCCTAGTTCTTGGGCCTTTGGACTCCAGCATGTACACCATTGGTCTCTGACCTCAGACTGAATGATTCCCTGGCTTTCCTATTTCTCACCTTGCAGCCAGCAGAGTGTGGGGCTTGGCCTCCAAGGCCGCATGACCCAATTCCTGTCATGAATCTCCTCTTATTTATCTCAATATATCTAGCTACTGTTTCTCTGGAGAGCATGGACTAATACTAGGGCAAATCCACCATTCCATATCCTCTAAACACCTTGACCTTGAGTGGTTCCCCTTGCCCCCCAGCCCCCATTTTAACTGTCACTTTCTGACCCTATCTGAAAATTCTTGGCACTAAGATATACTCTCAGGACAGAAAACCTATTAAATCATGGCCTCAATTAATTCTCCAAAGTTTTCAAACCACTGCTTCTTGAAATATGTGTCACATTTTCTCATATGAGTCCATTACACTGCATTCAAATTTATAATTGAAAGAGGTTTTCTTTTTCATGAATCTATATTACAATGTAAAAATTCTTATGGTTGTTATTAAAATTTGATTTGATATTTTTAGGTATTTTATATTTTGATTATCTTCAAATGAATGTCTGGTGCAAGTTCAACTTCTTATAAATACAACATTAGATGATAATTCATTCACTTGCCTACTGTAAGGTTCAAAATAAGAGTCCAACCCGCAGGTTCTAAAATCAAATTATATGGGGCGCCTGGGTGGCTCAGTTGGTTAAGTGGCTGCCTTCAGCTCAGGTCACGATTCCAGGGTCCTAGGATCAAGCCCCGCATCAGGTCCCTGCTCAGCAGAGAGCCTGTTTCTCTCTCTCCCTCTGCCTGCCACTCAGCTTACTGTGCTCTCTCTCTATCTCTCTGTCAAATGAATAAATAAAATCTTTTAAAAAAACAAAATAAAATAAAATAAAATTATAAGTCTCAGCTCTCTGGTGATGAAGCAAGTGTTTCTATCTGCCATTTAAACATCTTATCTTTTTTGCTTGTTCTTCATTAAGCAATTCCAATAGTAAGTCAAAGTGACTGGAAGTTTAAACCCTGACAAAACCTGCTGTAACTTACTGTGAACACAGACACTCTCTCTCTCTCTCTCTCTCTCACACACACACACACACACACACACACACACAAGTCCCTACCATGAGTGTTGTAGGCAGCTCACTACAGAACCTGCACAGCTCTCCGCAGCACCCACATTCATAGGGCTTCCCCTAGTGTGGCTTCCACTGTGCCTGGCACACTGCACTTCGTGACAGAAAGGACAATCCTGGAGGATTTCCTCTTTCTGGGCCCCCAGAGGACAAGACACTCTCCTGACACTGTCAGAGGACACTGGGATGAGGGCTGCTCTCCAGGCGGTTGGAGGACATTGATCCCAACTGCAGTCATTCAGTCCTTCAGGACTGCCCACGGTTCTCCAGGCACTGGGGTCTGAAGAGTGCAGTCATGACTGCATGGGCCTCCCCAGCAAGGCCTAGAAGCTCCCTCACCACCTTGGTAGCAGCCCCCACCTGCTGGGCTCCCTTCCATCTGCCCACAAGGCACATCTAGTTTCCATGCTCCTCCCACCGTGCCCTTTGCCTCTGGGCACTCTAGTTGCCCACCTGCTGACAAGGCTCTGTCCACAAGCGTGCCACAGTTTTCTCTTGGGAGGAAACATCTACTTTTCCCATCCCTGGCCCCCAGACCTTGAGGCCCCACCACTCACACAGCTGGTGTTCTGTGATGTTCCTCCAAACCTTCCATTGGCTCTCATTTCTTCACAGATAATCCAGCAGACCCTGGCACTCAGGTCTCTCAGCTTCCTCTCTTTCAGTGCAATTTTTCTGATTCAGTTTGTGCCCTGTAAATAAATTGCAGAAATGAGGCAAATTCATCGATGCAAATGTCATCTAAAGCAATCTATCTGTTAATGTCTGGTGTCTCATTTCTGAGACAGTCCTTGAAGCAGCTACTTGAAATAGCTAAGATACTCTGCGGACCAGAACAGCTGCCAGGGTCCCCAGGTGAGCAAGGTGCAGTGTCACAGCCCACGGTCCCACAGATCCCACGATCACCCCAGCCCACAGCGGTGAGCAGGACACTCAGAGGATCCAGTCAGCAGCTTTACAACTCATGAGCTGCTGCTGCTTCTCCATCTGGTCAGAGAGGAAAAACTAATAAGCAGAACTGAACAGGAGCAATTGAATACAATGCTAATGACTGTCATTTAGCTCTTTTTGTTCAGGGGTGAATTACAGTGTGAAAAGGACTTGCCCTTGTGAAAGCAGTGTGCCCTGGTGGAAGGGAACCTGGGGTCAGTGAGCCTGGAAGCTGTGTGGCCTGGGATGATGGCTCGGCTCTCCTAGGCCACAGGCTCCTCCTTAATGCAGGGCAGATTCTTCTAGGCCCTCCTCAAGCCACCTGCACACACCTGCTCCCACTGGGTGTGGACAGGAGTCAGTGACCTCAGGGAAGTGGGTTAGCCACTGGGCACAGTAAACACCCAATAGTGACAAAGCAATTCTGACTGTCCCCACCCTACTTTCTAGCTTCTGATTTGGACAAACCTACATATAGTCTCTGCTATCTTTGTTTCAGCTTAAAAAAATATATGGCTGAACTCTGATCATTCTAGAACATCTTTGCCCTCTTCCCACACCTGTTGGCTCCTCCTCCCTCCACCCACATGCAGCCCTGGTGTTCACCGGGAAGTGGATCCCACAGTCACTCCCCTTCCTCAGGAGGGTTTCCCGATGCTATCTCAGTTCCTACAGGATGGGGTTTACCCTAGCTATGTGTGCTAAGTATATGGCCTTTCTGCAATCCAGAACTGCTCCTGCTCCTACCCTACCCAGGACCTTCCCTTTCTCCTACACACATAGGTCCCCTCCCTCAACCTCCCCCAAAACTGGTCTTAATTCTCAGGTTAATAAAAATGAAAATAAGACCAAAATGCATTTCATGCTCACAGTGGGTGAGCCACAATACCAAGTATATTGCTAGCATTACTCAATTCTCACAAAACTCTGAAGGGGTAGTATTTTTAGCCCTTTTTGCAAATGAAGGAACTGTGGCACAGAGGATAAGGATTTGAAGCGCCAGAGCCAGAAATCGATCCACAGAGCCAAGAAGCTCCAGAGTGCAAGCTCTACCCAGACCATAAGGCTTCCCGGCTCCAGTAAAAATCCAAAGGGAGCTGGAGAGGGTGTGATTAAATAGCCTCTGAAAAGTGCCACATCTTCCGTTTGCATGAATCCAAAAGCGAACATTGGTAAGTGTGGTTTGTGCAAGAGCCCAGGAACTCAGCCCTTCTCTGGCCATATCACCACCATCTCTCACCTCTACACTCCTGGGCACTGAGGCCAGGGCTCCAGTCTGGCAATGGCTGCACAGCCCCACAGCACAGGCCATTTGCACATCCTAGCCTGATCTTCCCTCTTCCCCCACTTAATTCCCACATATCCCTTCCGCCTCCATTCAGTTGTCTCCGCCCCCAGGAAAGCCAAGTGCCCTGACTGTGACAAAGCCCCATTCCATAGGCTCACAGTTCCAAGTACCACTCAGTAGTCATACACATGACAAGTGTGATGTAGTACTTATTTGGTGATCACTGGATTACAATCCTCCTCCTCCTCCAACTAGGCTGTGGGGTTTATGAGCACAGAATGGTGAAACCCTAGCAGCCAGCTCTGCATCCTGGCACCTAAATGAATTTTTTACTATTACTATTCTTTACTAAATGAATGAAAAGTGAGTGAATAAATCAAGGAATGACCACTCATTTGTCTCTTGCACAGGGCCCCCCCAGGCTGCCAGCTGCCTCCGGTCTCATCGGTTCCCTGAAAATTTCACAGCAGTTGCCACACAGCTTCCCAACCTTTCCTATCCTCATAACCTCCTCATTCTTTTGCCAATGGCTGGTCTGTCTAATTGACAGACTTGACTCTCAGTGCTGTCCTGGACATGGTGATGTGGGAAATGGGCATTGTCTTATGCCCTAAAGAAGCCAAACTGAAGAAAACCACATGATTTCAGGTGACTATTTCCGGCTTCTCCTGGCTGAATTCAGTTCTGATGCACTGAGCAAGAAGGAAGAAACACTTATCACACAGCTTCATTTCATTTCCCTAACACCAGAGGAACACATTCAATGCGCCTACTATGTGGGCTGAGGTTCTCTGGAGCCCCAGTGGCAGAAGGGGTTGCTTCAACCTTCACTGAGGTCTACTCCACACAGCAGCGGTGCTCCTGTCACTTGGGATGCAGGTTATGACCACATGTCAGAGTTTCTCGGATTCTAAACCAGATGATATCTGCAGAATGCCTAAGTGGCAGCGCACAGTGTGTCTGTAATGAGCACTTTTCTAATTGATGCACAATTCTGGCAGAATCTAATTGAAAGTTATGGATCTCCTTTCTGGAAAAAAAAGCAACCATATACACATAGGTCATTTTGCACAGAGTTTCAGAGTCTTCGCAGGCCCCCAGAGGCCCATCTGCTAAAGGAAAAGGAGGACCAGTTCTCAGGCTAATCTCCTCTTTCAGCAGATATTAATTTGTGATTTATTTTTAAGTGTTTAAATGTTAAGGGAGTCATATGTCTAGGCCAAAGATCGCTCCTCCTTAAAGTTAACTTCAGCTCACTTCCAAACGTCTTTCTATCCCGGCTTGCAACAATGACAGTCACACCAGACCTCTCTCCACTGGACTCTCAGGTGGAGACCACTGATGTATTCTCTCAGAGCATGCTAGTTGGTAGCACAGCTAAGCCCACAGAGGGACACAGTTTCTACACAGGGATCCATAAATATCTCTAAGATGTAGTTTGTTGGAAGTTTTTGGTTTGATGTGCTTGATGGCTTTGAGTGGAATTGGAGCTGTGGAAGTTGCTGGTTTCAGCTGTCCTAAGCTCATCTCACACAGGCTCGTGAGCTTCTTCCTGTGCTCACCGAGAACAGCAAGGTGTTGGCAGCACAGTCCCAGTTTTGCCAGCAACAACTGCGTGACTTGCAGCTCACCACAGGCATTGAGAAAAACAGGTGAAGGAAGCTCTAAGCACCAAAGGTGAAGGAAAGGTCATTTGCCTTTTAAAAACACTTTTTATCTTTAAGGCGCTGCTCCCTGAAGATCTCTGTATGTCTTTTTACAATGCTTCTGGACTGCATCTTTCTTTTGTAATATGAGGAAATATATATAACAACAACTTCACCAACTGAACCCAGTTTAAGTGTGCACTTTGGGGCATTAAGTACATTCACAGTATGCTATAGCCATCACCTCCATCCATCTCCAGAACTTTCTCAGCATTCCAAACTGAAATTCTGTTCCCATTAACAATAACTCCCCAGTCTGCCTCCCCCGGCACTGGCGACCACCATTCTACTTTCTGTTTCTATGAATCTAACCAGTCTAGGGACCTCATCTCAGTGGAACTATACAAACTGTGGCCTTTGGGATCTGGCTTATTTCACTTAGCACAAGTTCATCCATGTCATAACATCTGTCAAAATTTCATTATCTTTTAAGTATGAATAATATTCAATTGTATGTATATACTGGTCTTGTTTATCCATTTTTCTGTTGATAGATACTTGAGTTGTTTCCATCTTTTTGCTATTGTGCATATACTGCTATAAATATTGGTGTGCAGGTATCTGAATTCCTGTTTTCAGTTCTTTCAGGTATATATTTAGAAGCAGTATTGTTGAATCATATGGTAATTCGGTGTTTCTAATTTCTCTATATCCTCAACAATGGACTGAAACATTTTTAAGCAAGAGATTTTTGCACATAAATAATCTTTTCCGCATGATATTCTCAATAGTTTTATCAAAACTCTCAATGCCCTTAATAGTTAAAAAAAACAGTTCTTAGTATTCAGGATTTGAGCTCAAATAAAATGTCTCCAAGAAAAGCCGATCTGATAATTCATGGCAGGAGATGGGGAACATACCAATAAATGACACTTTATTTTGAAAAGAGTTCAGGCTCCATTAAGAGTTAAAAATGCATATATCTTCTCATCACGAGCATCACATTCAGATAAGTATTATCCAGCCATCACATATACATAAATTTAATCTTTTAAATCAACTTTGCTTCTACATGGAATGTCAAAAAGGGTGATGCACCACTTTTTATAGAACAATTTCAAATAAAACCTTGCTGTAACACTACTGCAATCTTACCATCAAGAATCTCATGTAAGTATTTAAAACACCACATGACGTATTTAGAATCTGCTAGAAGTCTAAATAGACATAAAAACAACATATGTGGGGGTGCCTGGTTGGCTCAGTCATTAAGCGTCTGCCTTCTCTCTCCCCCACTCCACCTGGTTGTGTTCTCTCTCTGTCTCTCTCTGTCTCTCTCTGTCAAATAAATAAATAATTTAAAACAACAACAACAACATATGTGGACAAGAGCAGCTAGGATTCTGTATTCCATGTAAGATAGTTAGCATTCATTGCCAGAAAGATTTCTTCAGTTGGGTGTCATAATAACTCTAGTGCTTGACCAAGTGAAGAAACCAGATATGACTATCATAAATTTTATATTCAGTTCCCTTTAGAAATGCCAGATAATCAGGTTCAAAGGTAAAAATTATGTCAAGTTTCTTTACAGAATTTTTGGAAATCAATAAGAAAAAAAACACCAACAACCCAAAACAGAGTTAGCAAAGAACATAGACAATTCACATATAGGTGTACAAATAGCAGAGATTTCACTGACAAATGAAATAGTATAAAAACAATGACAGACCAATAACTAGATAAATTGCCCAAGGTTAAATACAACGTTTGATGCAGCACAAGTATCCATGGGGAATGCAATCTCAGGGTCAGTTAGGAAAAGAAAAAA